CGGCAAAAAAGGCCCATCGCCACTGTAGGGGTAAATGCTGGGGATCTGGCGGCACTTAGCGGTCTTCCACGGTGCTCTTCGGATACGGATCTAGGTTTCTAGTTTTAGCCCACCAATGGATGCATTCCTAAAATTCCAGCTTGTTCATTTACTCGTGGACTTAAATCAATTCTATAAACTAAGATGAAAAAAAATTCTTAACACTAAATGAATGCTCATTTTATATGTGTGGATTAAATCAACCCTAATTTTACATAGCCATTCAGAAAATACTAAGCAATTGAATGTCATTCACAAATTTAAAAAATAAGGGTATAAGGAACTTGTTTCCAGGATAAACTATGAAACAAGGATTTGAAGCTGAAAAATCTTAAAATATATATATATTAAACTACCATGACAAATATTTTACATTTTCATACTGTATTGGTTGGGATGACTCATGGGTATCAATGTAATACATAGAGATGGATGGTTTGCAAAATAAAAAGCTGATTTATAAAACTCCAGGCATTTTCTACACTAACGCTACATTAACATCAAAAGTAATGAAAGCCACAATGTCTAACTCCTCAAAAGCCTTACATTTTGCAAGCCATTCTAATACTCAATGGCATCAGTGCTTCGAGGCAACTCTGATTAAATAACCAGCTGGCAGGGTGGCGTATCTGCGAGTTGCTGTGGCTGAAAAAGCTGCATGCCTTGGGCGAAATCTGTGGCCAGCTGGTCACCCAGCAGGGTCAAAAGGCGCAGGGCATAAGGGCAAATGGTCCAAGAGGAACCCAAGGCCATGTGGATCCTCCATCGCATATGCAGCTAGTGTACTGTACTTGAATTATGCATATCCCAGTATCAATACAACACAAACATTATGCAGGAACATAATGTACATGTACTAATATTGAATGATATTAAGGTGTCTCAGCTAAAAACTTTGCCTAATTCTCCAGTTATTTTTGTTATATAACCACTGAAAAAGGATGTCCATCTAAAAAATTAAGTGCCTATGACCACAGGAATACCTCTCAGAGTAGACTAAGATAATCTGACAAAGGCAAGCAATCATCATGATCAATTTATGAATTGGCAGTAATTATGAAATGTAAAAATGGTTTGGGTACCCAATGACCTACTCTTGCAAGTATTCCCCATGCATGTTATATTTTATTTTATAATACACAGCAATTGGTAGAGACCAGTTGGTAAAGTTAATAAATGTAACTTTATGCAAATTTTCTACTCAGAAAAATGCTGCAATTTCAGTCTCTTTCTAAGAAACGCCTCTCACTTGCAGGTTCCCAGTAATTATGGTATGCTGTACACTGTACTTTTAGAGACTGTTGTTGAATGAATCTCAAAACCACTGCGAATTGCATACACGTCTCACGATTCCACACCACGTGTATCCAGATGACCGACACAGGAAGGCGGAAGGCATACACGGAGCATAGTAGAATCCAATACATGGCTTTTGATGTGGAAAACCTTGCCCCCACGGAGCACATTTAAAAAAAATAACGAATTTGTAAAGAATAAAATAAATGCCTTAAATCTCTTTAATGTGGTTAGTCGAGTGAACTTTTTGTAAATACAGTACAGAACACCCATATATTAGTCACACGTTCTACCGTTAACCTGGCGAATATGCATTTACAGAGACTGCAATGATGGCTGACACCCCAAGAGTAAATGTAATTATCCCTGCGGGATACTAGTGGGGGATACCTTGAGCAAGAACACGTAGTAATTGTCAGGTACATTAGCCAACCTTGCATTGATTATACATGGCAATCATCAACCCCGCCCCCCCCTACTGGCAGACTAATAGCTGTTTGAAGGCCAGAGGTTGAGTCACCTTGTGCAAAAGAACAGCTGCCACTGGGGGTGCCCCTTTCAAATGTTTAAATGAGAAGTGACGTTTGGTGCCGAGATGCATCGAACCATTATTCTCACAATTTACAGTTCATCCTTTCCATATCATTTCAGTTTTATCACAAATAGTAATTGTGTAGGAAAGCTGCCTCTTTTGTTACGAAAGCATTCCAGGTACTACTCTACCTTAGCAACCGAATAGTGTGGTCCTAAACAATATTTACTGTCTCAGCACCTTGAAGCAAGGTGGATCATTGCACTGCAAACAACAGCTAATTACGCAGTTTAATCTGCATCCTCGCTAATTGGAGAAAACCACTGCGACAGATGCCTACCCGTCGTGAACAATTTCAACCAATGTATGTTTCTGCCTCCATTCACAACGTGACTTACTTACGCTCACGAGTATTCCCTCGGGAGGATGTCTCGCCTGTAATATAATGGAAGAACTACAATATTTTCCACACTTCAGATACACGTCATAAAATGGCGTTAACATTTTGTGAGCACCAGCAATAGCAAGATAACAGCAGTGAAAAGTGCATTACTGGAGGTGATGGCAGTGTGAAAATTGGCTGTACACAATAACTCAGCTATGCAACGAAGTTTGGTGTGACAATGCATCTGTTACTAAAAAAATCAAATCACAACTGCAGTTAAACAATACATTGTTTGAAGCATTACACCGTTTGAATTTAATATTACACTGATTCAAGTTAACCAATGCTTTCAACAACTCTTGAATTATGTAAAACTAAATCTGCAACTCATTAACAAGGGCAGTGATATCCATGGAAAAGGGTGTCTCTGAATGTTCAGAGTATGCAGAATATCCCTTTTATACTGCACTAGCTTGACTACCCGGCTTCGCCCGAGACTTGGATTAATACACGGCCTACCCGGAGGGTGGGGGGATGCGTGACGTAAGCAGGCACACAACGTGACGCTGCCGCATGCGGGTGACACAGATGTGACGTCACCGCTCACTTGCCGTGTAAAATATATCCATTATTGCGTCCCCCCCACCCCCCCAAAATACAAAAGTCTATTATTATCCTTTTTGCATTTTGTACAGTCTGGAAGCTACCCACATTCCAAATTTCAAGTTTGTTGCATGTTGGGAAGTATGCTAAACATTTTGAACAGACACACATTCACAAATTTCCCTTTTACAAATATAAATGAAACTAGCTTTACGACCCGGCTTCGCCCGGGACTTGGATTCACCACACTCGTCCGCCTTTGTCTCCCCAGTGGCAATGTTCACACACCACACCAGTTACTCGTTTGAGGCTAAGTCGACCTAGGGGAGGCCCAGGACCGGTTCAAATAATCGTCACTGGTGGTGGCCGTGAGGAGGAATTGAACTCGGGTCGCCGGGTTCGTAGCGCAGCGCGTTAACCACTACACTACCGCTCCCCCCACACGCACGCGCGTCCATAGGTACACAAATAAGCGTTTGCTGCAGACACACAACTTTGAGGGGCCGTACGGCAGTAAACGACTGAAATAATAAAGCAGCAATGCTGCGCGAAGAACGCCTTAGACCTGCAACACATTTGTATGGCACTTTACTCGCAGAGGGTTGGGGGGGGGGATGCGTGACATGAGCAGCCACACTGCGTGACGCTTCCGCATACGGGTCACATGACAGATGTGACGACACAGCTCACTTGCCGTGCAAAATATATGCATTATTGCGCCCCCCCCCCCAAAAAAAATACAAAAGTCTGTTTGTTGCATGTCGGGAAGTACGCTAAACATTTTGAACAGACACACAATCACAAATTTCCGTTATATATAGACTTGTCTGTCAAAAATATTTTCAGCACCCCAATTTTGCATTCTTATTATCTACTAATACATAAATTCCTTCATCTGTAAGTAATACAATGTTAAAAAACCGAAGTTCATAAAATTAAGCACATAATAGCCTTTAAGATGACTAATGTGCCAGATGCCAAATCATTTCGCTGTGGCCTTTGAAATTGTATTATCTTCCAAAATATTAACTTGATGTTATAGCATCTCATAACATTTTCAGGAACGATGTAGAAAACTTACTACAATATATTGGCAGCTGCAGGGAGGCTATGTTATTGTTCTTGATGTGAGCTGGAGGGGATCCCCCAAACCAATGCAATGCAAGGCAATATAATGTTGACATAAATAAGAAAACCCATCAAAGCTACTACTTCAGCATACCACTTTCAAAAGGAAAATGTACATAACAAAATGCTCATTCTCATGTAGCTCATTAATTTATGTATTACACTAAAACGTGAAACGAATGATAAAACACGAGTCATTACAGCACGATTAATATTTTACGGCTTTGCTAGTTATTGTCGAGGTCAAATGTTGCTTTCATCATATATCAATACACCTCATGTGTTATGTTCTGACCGACCTAAAAGTCAAGTAAGAAATACTTTACAAATGCGTTCCTAAGCAAGGCAAGTAGAATAACATTTTAATGTCTATTTGCAAAGTTAGACACAACTTAATAAAAATGTTTTAAAACCATAATAGAGACATGAACACCGATTCAATGACGAACCTATATTCAGTTGACAAGCACACCCCATGCTGGATTAGTTGGCAGGTGTCACAAAGAATTAAAAAAATACTGGCTATGAAGTTTCAATTTTAGAAATGTCATGTCACTACCACACGTGCCCATATTCTGCCACATGCCTGCAATCACTATGCATGCTCATGGATGCATTGAAACACATGTCCAAAGCCAGTGGTGTTCAACATCAGACCTGATCATTTTAGTTTAAAATGTTCCTGATTGCCAAAACCAGCATTATGTTACACTTGCGGTGAAATTTACCACATGGTATAAACAACAATGCTAAAAACACGTTTTTAAGTATTAACGATCTTCATAGATCTCAAATTTAATGCACACAATAAAACACATTTAAAATTAAGATATAATATTTAGTTAAAAGCATTTCTACCATCACACTGCAATTAACTTTTGTACGCCAGCTAACATGAAAGCCACAAAATGTATACACATTAAAAACATTTGCATGACAATATGTTGGAGGCACACTCAAAATATACCACGCACACAAGCTACAGAGAGAGCACAGTGTAGATCACCACAATATTACCTGTTTGTAATGCTATTTGTGGAAGCCAGTCCATAGATGTCAAACTGCTTTCAAGTTCTGACGCCATTTCTCCGCTTTAATGGAAAAAATCCTTTAAAAAACGACAGCACACAACACACGATGAGGATTAATGATATTTAAAAAACCAGGAATAACTTACACACACGTACAAACACACACGTCTCCAACACCGTCACTACTGCCGTTTACATGCGCGTGGGTGCAAAACCTGCGGGTGAATTTCAGGGAGCTCGGCGTGCAATGCTCACTTCTTATTCCGAACGCATGTGCGCACCCGCCTCTGCTGTACATTCCGCACAATGTGCACACACACACCATGTTGTCGGCACAATTGGACAGGCGGCACGGCCAGCAAGAATCCCTGTCTCCGCCGCAACCGGAGCCGGCTTTCGACAGCCGACCACGCTGTCTACGCCGCGTGTTCAAACCACCACCTCCTCCTCCACCGGGAGGGGGTGGGTGGCAAGAGCTCTCGCTCAGAGCAATTAAGAGCGATATCCACCAACCAGTTGCAATTTATTCACTCTGCGGTCACTGTGCGAATCAAAAGCATGGATTCTGAATCGCTGCGGTATCACAATCAGAACTCAGGGACTTCCAATCATCATAATCATCACCACAATGGCTTCACAGATTGGCGCGCCACGCGATTGAAAGACAAATGCCAAGTACATTGATTCACCAAACGGCGTGTGGCGTGCGTGTGTATTGTGTATAGAGGCAGGGAAGACGGCATTTAAAATGTTAAAGCACGTCCGCGTTTCTGATCTTTTTCTTCCCTCCCCACCTAAATTTTCGCCGCGCGTGGATAAATGGGACGCCCTTTAAGCAGCACAGCAGCGCCCGGGCTCGGCTCTCATTAAATCTTAAACAGAATAAGAACGCCTGCCGTCAGCAGCAGCAGCGTGCATGCAACCCTGCCACGAACACGCGTCCCCTGCACATTCCTGCAAACACGAAATCAAAATAAAACAGCAGCAAGAGAACCACGACAACAGCAGCAACAGCCCCGACCTCCCAGCGCGGCAACACATGCCAAGCCGAGGCCGACGCTTCTACCCAACCAAACCCCCATCGCAATTCCTCCACATCTCGAGAAACGCCACAGAACGATGACACGAGTGCCGCCACCGCCGACGTTGTGAAGACATCGGTTTCACCCACGGCCCCCGCTGCCACTTGCTTCCCGAGACGAAGCCTACCCTCTTGCCTAGTCTCTCCGCGGGCCTCCCCTCGGGTCTGCCCGCAGGGCCCCCGTTGCCCGTGGGCCCCAACGACGCTGCGGCCTACCTCGGGGACACTTTGTACCGCCTCCGCGGCGCACTCGCACGGCCGAACCGAGACGGGGAGAGACGTCGAACGAAGGCGGCGGCGTCGTCGGGGTCGTCGGCGTCGGCGCGGGGAGGCAGCGCGGAGCTCTCGGCTCTGTGGAGGCGCGGGAGGAGGAGGAGGAGGGGAGCGCGGAGAGGCGGAGCGGCCTAGGCGAGGCGACTCGCCGCCATGTTGATTGCTCGCGCCTCTTCACCGCGTCGCGTCTCTCTCCGCCAGCGCGGCGCTTCGCCCGCTCGCTCGCTCGCTACACACTTTTGTTTTAGTTTATTCGCTTAAAATTGTGGGGATTTTCAATCTGCGTGCTGCACACCCGCCTCGTTGACGTTTTGGGTTTGGGATAATTGTCGTGCGTCGTGGCGGTGGTTGTCGGGGTTTGTTCGTGAGGTTTGGCGTTTTCGCCGAGTGTATTGCATAATGCGCTGTGGGCAGGGGAGGCCGGTACTACTTTAGTGCGAATCCTTGCGCGGTGTGGGGCTCTCTCCACCCCGCGCACAGCCATCAGCAGCAGCAGCATCATCAGCAGTAGAATCAACAGCAGCATCATCATCAGCAGCAGCAGCATCAGCAGCAGCATCATCATCAGCAGAATCAACAGCAGCATCATCATCAGCAGAATCAACAGCAGCATCATCATCAGCAGAATCAACAGCAGCAGCAGCATCAGCAGCAGAATCAACAGCAGCAGCATCATCAGCAGCAGAAGCTCCTCAGCAGCAGCAGCACCATCATCAGCAGCTCATCATCATCATTAGCTCATCATCAGCTCATCAATCATCAGCAGAAGCAACAGCTCCTCATTAGCTCATCATCATTAGATCATCATCAGCGCATCATCATTAGCTCCCCATCATCAGCTGCTCATAATCATCAGCTTCCCATCAGCAGCACTTCCAACACCATTATGATCACCTCCACCATTAGCATCATCATCATCAAATACATCAGCAGTAACAGCATCAGTCAGCAGCATCATTCCTATCTTGGTTGTCATCACCTCCACCACCGACAATCACAATCACCACTTGCAGCACCCTCATTATAAGCAGCAGCAGTACCGACAGCTGCAGTACAATCGTTCATCACGATCGCCATCATCATCATCACGATCACCACCATCATCATCACGATATTCATTAGCAACATAACCTCCTCCACCATAATCAACACCACCATCATAATAATCACTCGCAGGAGCATCATCATTAGTAGCAGCACCCTGCACACAACTTCCATCATCATACCTACCACCATTATTAATGCTACCATCATAATTATAAATAACACCAGCAGTGTCATCACCATAATTGACGAACAACAACAACAATCGTCATTCGCCACTAAGTGGCGGTGACGTCACCACGACGCTTGTGCCAGGCCATGTGCACCTTGAGGCTGCCACGTGAAGTGTCGAATGCCCGCTGGCTGGAGGTCACGGGGCTGACCCAGCAGGTGCCACGGGTCGACTGACCGAGATGACCGAAATGAGTGGCTGATGCACCACCTGTGCCCCCTACTGTGCCAACTTACTGTGCTTTAGCCACCCGGCGCTCCGCTCGTTGTTGTGAGCGTCGTTCCTCCGCCCTCCGTTGTTGTTGGAGGGCGACTGCCTCCAACTGCCCAGTAGCGTCCTTCACGAGCCTCCTCCGCTGAGGCCGATCTTGACACCGCTGGTACCAGTCATCGGCAAGTCCACTCAGCTCCACGTCCTCCTGTATCATCAACACACACACAGACACGCACAAAAACCCCTCTGCCAGCTCCATCGCCTGCACGTCAATTAAATATGCGGCACTCGCAAGACATCCCCCCCCCACCCCCATCTCAACCCGCACTCGTCTGAAGCAGCCAGCGGTGCCAATTAACAAATTACAGCGGCGATAGGAAGACACGAGGAATTCAATCTCACACGTTTCGTCACCAGCACCACCAGCACCGCAATGCAACCCGTCGAACGATAAATTCCACCCCAAGCCTCATAACCCGGCTCGCGACAGCAAATTATTCGGGAGGTAATGCCACTTAAGATGACAACATATATGGCACTTGCAGATATATTTACATAGTTTATCATTAATACGGATTTTGACTTAAAGCTTTCGTGACTGCAAGGAATTCATACTCTTTGGGTCTTTCGGTAATGTCACGTAGATAGAAAAATAAAAAAAATCACGACGTTTCGATCGCAACACAAGCAAGCAATCCTCTTCAGGTGAGAAAATACAGCAAGCGGACTGCTGGGGTAGGAAGAAATATAGCGAGAGAGCTACTGCAGCCAAAGGTTACGTAGGTCATGGAGAAATCAATTTCATGCATGTCTTTACTTTTACAGGCTAAATGTCTCACGAACATAGCTGCTGCTCCCTTTTCCTCGATGTGGCGGTGATGCTTGTTGTTTAACACATTCCTGCGGAGGGAGCTGGTAGGAACGTTGGGTTGCTCGGTCAATGGCCTGCAGGGTCAACGGCGGCGTGGTGTATTCCGCAAATATGGCCGCCTGTGAGGGCGGGCACAAGCCGGCGTGAGTAGGTTAAACGTTGAGTTTTATAAGGGCACCACGGAGTGACCAGCCCCTCCCCACCCAGCCCCACCCCTCCCACCCAGCCCCTCCCCACCCCCCACCCAGCCCCTCCCCTTCCATTTTTGGATGCACGACGGACGGACGGACACAATAATCCCCTGTGGGCTGGTGTAACCAGGAGGTTCCTACCAGTAATAGGCTGAATGTCTCTCATACTGGTAGGAACGAAGTGGACCAGACCACCAATAGATGAATGTGTCCGTCCGTCCGTCCGTGGGAGGGGTGGTGTTGAGGGTGGTGTTGGAAATGAAAGACTACGAGTCTTTAAATCTCACAGCGTTTCTTGTCAAAACAAACACTTTTAATTAACGTTACACTAGAATACAGTAATTTTTTCTTTAACTCCTCTATACCCGGTCGATATCTCTGTACCGGTACTAAGTATTATTCCTACCAGCCCACCCCGCAGGGTCCTGTTTAACACAGCCGCTGCTGCTGGAGCCGTCTCACATTGACATGATAATCTCTAGCAATACAATAGCCGAGAATAGCGGGTCAGCAAGTTACAATACAAAAAACCGATAGGAGTGCAAAATAGAAGAACGTTAAGCAAGTCACTATAAATAAATACACACGAATAAAGTATAAATTGTTAATTTTTAAACAAATGCAATGTTGGACAAGTCAGAAAAAAAAAACAGTCCCAGACCACACCAAAACAATACAACCCTACCCCCCTCGGATTAGCCGAGGTTTGCCGAGCTCTGCGATCTTACATTTACTTGCAAATTCCATCTCTAGCCCCGCCCACTTACCCTTGGGTTGTACCCATCTAAAACCTATATAATCTTTGGCTGCAGTAGCTCTCTCGCTACATTTATTCCTGCCTCAGCAGTCCGCCTGCTGTATTTTCTCACCTGAAGACGATTGCTTGTGTTGCGATCGAAACGTGTTTTTTTTTTCTATCTACGTGACTTTACTGAAAGACCCAGAGTATTAATACGGATGTTGTTGGAAGGGTTTACTTCAGTCAGTGTTGTGCAGACAATACAATTGTACTCATCATCAACCATGGTCTATCTACAGCTGAATGAAGACCTTTCCCAAGCCGTTGTCAACTCACCGTTTCGCGATGCAGCAATACATCTCACTTCTTCGCCGATTGAATCGCTACATCTCCGCTTCGGCCGTGCTCTGTCTTGGTTGTCTTGCAATTATTTTCAACCACCAGCCATTATCGCTCTGCAGTACTAGTGCCTTTTCCAGAAATATAACTAAAAACATGCAATCGTTTCGATTTAAAGCTTTCGTGACTGCAGGGATTCATCTTCTTGGTTATTTCGGTAAAGTCACGTAGAAGGGAAGTAATAAAAGAATAAAAATAAAACATAATAAAATGAAATAATTCTCACGACGTTTCGGCTACAACGCAAGCAGCCGTCTTCAGGTGAAGAATGAGACACTGCCAAGCTAGGAGCTTATATATAAGCTGAGTTGGAGGTTGAAGAAGAAGAGAGCCTTAACAAAAGAATGTGCATATCAAGAGGAATTTAGCATATTCATGGGGCGGGGGGTTTCAAAGTCATATTATGCCCATAATGCATGGGCATAATATGACTTTGAAACCCCCCCGCCCACCTCCTACGCATTTCCCATGAATATGCTAAATTCCTCTTGATATGCACATTCGTTTACTACAGCCCTATGTATTCTCAATTGTTTGCAGTGGAAGGCAAGTGACAATCGCAAATAATTTGTTGTGGTTAACAACCACTTTGACTGTGTTTTACAATTGGAACACGCGTTCTGTCAAAACGAGGGACAGAAGGGATTGTGATAATTAAGATTTCACCAGACGCCTCAATATTAGAGTTGTGAGTGAATATTGATGACTAACGCCAGACAGTGTCTCCTAATATCCATCTCTTCGCATGAAGAAAAACAAATTCTCTTAAACAACCCATCAGCCGCACAAGCAAACTTGTCGTGAATCAATGTTGCTGAATTATGCTCTCCTAGATGGTTGTGCGGCTGCTGCGTTGTGTAAGAATAATCTTAAGATGTATTACTTAAAGATATACTGTATTCTGTAAGAATCTAACGGTTTGTTTAAAATGTAGGAGTTTAGAATGGCCTCATATGGCCATAAAACTCACATTCTAAGAACCAAATTCTTCAGTTATGTTCCTGTTTTGGCAGTTATGCACGAGCACAATTAACAAAACGCCGCAACGCATTCGTCAAAAAACGTGGCCTTAAAGGAAACTATAACAGACGACGTTTTGGGCAACGGTCATTAGCAGCACATTCAATCTAATAACCATATACATTTAATACGAACGCACAGTTTGGCGTGCAGGATATCTCCGAGCACACTGCGCGTGAAATAAGATGAGCAGGAATCAAAAAAACATTTAGATTTCAAAAGTACGTTGGATAGAGATTTCCAGCTGACATCAAAACTGTCAAGGCACTACAAGTAAAAAATTGTATATGCTACAACAAGCAACAAAGATGAATAGGTTGTATTCTTTGGGTCTTTCGGTAAAGTCACGTAGATAGGTTCAAAGAAAATAACAAAAAAACTGACGTTTCGATCGTAACACAAGCAGTTAAAACGTCGTAGTTTTTTGTTCTTTTCTTTAAACCTACGTGACTTTACCGAAAGACCCAGATAATGAATTCCTACTGTCACGAAAGCTTTAAGTCAAGATTTATGAAGTTGATTAAATGTATTAAGAAATTAAAGGAGGGTAAAACACATGACGTCATAATGTGCATTTAATGTGAAAGTATAAAGAAAAATCCGAGACGTGAGGATCACTTAAGTTTTATATTCGAAGGACGAATGACAGAGGTGAGTGACTGTTTGAGAGTTTGTCGCCAGCAGGGATATGCAAAGCAAAACGATACGGTATTTGCAACATAGCAATATATATACTTTTTTTTACTCACGAGAGCACTGTCTAGCTCAGGACTTTTCAAAATTATAGCGCTTTGACGTTACATTTTACACTTACAGCAATGTTGGAAATGTTACGGTTTTACTTTAAATGCCACCTATATTTAGTTGATATACAACTTGGTCACGTGGCACACCAAGGGAATGGGAATCAAGACAGACACATACAGGGCACGGGCTCAAGGCGAGCAGCTGGAATAAAGAATGAGTGGTGGGTGCAGGAAGGGAAGGTGGGGGAGAAGTAATGACCAGGTCAAGATATCGCGGATGAAAGGGTGATGAGGGGAGGGAAGACGGGGAGAGTGAAGGAACAAACGAGGGGCACGGAGCAGCGTCTGTTTTGAGAGGGGGCAAGCATGGCAAATGGAGGGATTCAGGGGATATGGCCACATGGAAGTCAGGTGATTTGCAGGAGGCTTGAGCTGATTTAGATATATTTTAATCGTTCTACCACGAAACGAGTTTCGAGTTAACATGCAGAACTGGCCGACGGTGACACATCGGACAAATGCCAGTTAGGTATTGTTTTCATTTGAAATTGCTCACTGCAGATTAATGGTAGTGAAGCAGAACTTTTCAGTGCAGGTAGCTGTGGTGCCATGTATTCACCGCATGCACGGGTTCCTATGCGTCATTAATTCAAAAGGAATGTCTTGCCTACAGGGATCTTTTCAATAATACAAGCCACAGTTGACAGGCCACATGTTGCTAATGATAATCAGAAAGTAGAAACTTAAACAAATGCTGCTGAAAATCGTTGGTCCACAATGTTCATAGGCTGATAGACCTATCTGGCATTTAACATTTTTTGTTGTTGAAAGTGAACCGAGTAGTTAACAGAAACACGCACGAGATGATGAAGCTCAGATGGAGCAAAGACATTCGCTTGTGTGCAGGTGCTAGGTGGATTGTTGGATCGCGGGACCGTCAGAAAATGCAACAGTTTGATGCCTTCATCTGGCAGTGGGTTGATCACAGCCGATGATCGAGACATTCTCGTCTTGCAGTAACATCGTTACATTGAACGCAGTCTTTACGCGCAGTCAGTGCTGGAATACTTGAGAAAGCAGTGAGGTTCTACAATGTTTCCTTCCTATACCCAATACGGTCAGATTGTAAAGTACTGTATTGTAGCATCCAAAAAGACAGCACATTTAATTGTCTTGTACCCCATATGGAATTCAGAATAGTGCCACCTGCAGCCTAAAACGGAGGTTGTGGGTTGCATAACTGCAGACAATTTAGAAAAAAATAATTGGGGCAGCGACTCAATTTATTCTACCTGAGGAAACCAATTTTTTGGTGAAGTGTATTCCATGCGTCACACCTTCAACAGTAACCACTGCTTTTCATAGGAAAATTGCTTGCAACAGTGCACCCATTTGGGACATGCTTTAGAGGGTTTTGGTCTATACCCAAAACCCTAGCTAACATCGCTGTGGTTTAGATTATGGTGGAGCCCCCGTTTCACGCGACGCCCCAAACGACCGTGTGCGAAATATAACAAAGACGACTGCCGGTATACTACAGATTTAGTGTTAACTTAGAATTTAAATTTTATTGATTTTTTAATTGTCAAATGATAACAGGCCTGCTACTTCTCCGGAGGAGCGCACACAAACAATTATATCAACCCAAATGGCCCTTGCAACAGCACAGTCAAACAACCCGACGACCACAGCTTCAGATTTCCTTCACCACAAACGCTGGTGGGAGAAAGCTGCCGAGCAACCCCCAAAAGGCACGCACGAAATATCACCCGGCTCTGGAACGGACCAGACAAAAACGTTCCAAGCACCATCTCAGAGGATCGCCTCCCTTCCTCCCCGCACATGTCCCAGCTGTCAGCGCCCCACAGTCCTCACGAGGAGTTCCCTTCACGGCAGCTGCGTGTGGTTCCCCGTGTGACCCCACCCATGGCTCCAAAAACGATGGTTGCAGAGACGACCCATGGGGACCAGCCATCCACTGCAGAACCTCAGTCAATCACGCCCACTGGCCAGCAAGTGGCGATCACTCCCAGGCTGGACTCCAAGGCGATTGTTGCAGTGCCGACCCACCAACACGGCTGGCTCTCGGGCCGTGGACGTGTAGGGGTCTCCCCGTGGACACGGCACAGCACAGCCCCAGGCCTACCAGCACAGCTGCCTATTAAAAAAAATTCATATCTCAATCATGGGCAGGGCAGGCCTCCGACCAGCACAGCTGCCGCACCGAGCAGAATGGAATCCCAACCCGTTCCCCGCGGCGGGGCCTTTTATTGAGTCACACCCATGGTTTTTTCCAAATTAATTAGCACGGTGTGCTCATGAGTCCAATCCCTCGTGCTCCCGGGCTGATATAATCCCACACACACCTGCAACCACTTTCGCACAACCCCCCCGCGTCCCTCGCTCCTCCCCAATCAAGAGACACCCTGCCCCCAAAACTATAGCTCTGACTGCCACACGGTTCTTAGCTAAATGGACCATTCCCAAAACATTTGGCTGGTATGATGGAATAACTGTGGACACCATCAAATTAGTGGAGCCAGCTGTTGGATGATAGTTTGCCTGAATGATTCTTAGATGCAAAATGAGACAGGAAAATAATATGAATAATTAGTGACCCGTCAGCATATATCCATTATATCATTGTTGACGACGTTTAATCTCGAACTGAAAGAGACCAAGCAGCTACATGAGCAAGCTGGTTTGATCAAATGTTTGACTTCCTTTGACCACATACTGTCCATCAGCAGCCAAAGGCAGGAACAGCCCCAAGAGGGAAACCACTCGGGAGATGGAGCGATGAGATCAACTCATCAAGTTTTTCAATCAATCAATCAAGTATTTGTTTATTTTACACTATTTCGTGCAAAGATGAAATTTAAAGTGCTGTACAGGTAAAATAAAACATTGTTAAAGACGAAATCGTAAGAACGATAAAAGCAATTTCCAGACAAAACAAAATCGCATTGTAATAAATTGCTAGCAAAGGTATATTAAAAAAAAAAACACTATAAAAAATCTAAAGTTAAAGCAAGTTGAAAAAAGTTTTTTTTATTTAACTTAAAATTGCTTAATGATTGCGAAGCCCTATCTGGCCCTATCTGGCATTTTACTCATGTGCAGGAACGAGATGAATTGTGGAATTTAAAGATCAAGGAGCATAAACCACCACGCAAACTCTGGTCATCTTTACAACGGCTTTTGGCTGACCATCGAACAAAGGCGGTCACTGCATCGCGTGCTTTCAGATGCGCTTCTGCGGCCGTCTGGAACACTCTTCCTTCCGACATTAGGAAGC